TGCAGGTTGGAAGGCGGAGAAAAGCCTGAGCCGGTGAGATTTGAACAGCCGAACTGCAGAACTGCAGTCAGCTGAAGTAGACTGCAGTGCTGCATTTAACCACTGCGCCACCTCGGCTCTTAGGATCAACCGTTGCCCCAGGACGCCCAGTTAAGAGAGCTCCTTTCATGTTTCCATTAATGCCTCCACCGAAGTGGTGCCTATCTACTCACAAACCCACATCTTGAATGTCTGGCAGAGGTCCTCGAAACTTGGCAACTTTAAGCCTTGTGGACTTCAACTCCCAGAATTCTCCAGGCAGAATAGCTGGCTGGAGAATTCTGGGCGTTGAAGTCCACAAGGCTTAAAGTTGCCAAGTTTGGGGACCTCTGGTCTGTGGAGATTCTCAATCATTCAGGTCATGGTTGTCCCAAAAGTGCCCCCCACCCCAAGAGGCAACTGGACTTTCTTGGTTTTTCTTTGAATACATGAAGCTTCTTGGATGAGAAACGAAACGTCTTCAAAGGCAAAACCAGAAAGTCCAGTTGTCTCTTGAAAATGCACCTTTCGAATTGCTGAGCTCCACAAGAGCTTTGAGGGAACGATCGGAGCTCACCCCGACCCAAGGCAACACTCAGGCGCTTCCGATCGCGGGCTTGCTGCTTGTCAACTCCGTCGTCCTAAGCACGTGAGCCACCGCGATACAAATTCTCTCCAAGTGAAAGATTTAGGATTGCAGCCCTGCCTAAAGAATTTCTTTCCCTGGTTTAATTTATCCGTGCTCTCTCTTGGGTTTCTGCCCCGCTTTCCCTTGGGAAACCCAGAAACGCAAACGGCTCCAACTCTACTCCATTTCCTCCCCACCTACCTCCAACCCCCGCTTGGGCGTCCCCGACCAATGGAAACCTTTCTTAAGCGATTCCCAGGCTCCGCTGAGCCGGGCCACAACATTTTTGTGCTGCTTTGGGGGCTTTTTTCCCCTCACGAGGCCTGAGTAAAGAGCGCCGTTCTTTCCCTTCCGATCGAGAGGAGGCCTCTTAGGCCAGAGCAATCCACCGTCGATCGGACGAGACTCCTCCCACGTAACNGATTTTGCCTACGTGACAGATCATACTTACACCAGCTTACAAATCAGGCAAATGGAAATGAAAATCTTACGGTCCCTGGATTTTAACCTTGGTCGTCCTCTTCCACTGCATTTCCTAAGGAGGGCATCCAAAATTGGAGAGGTAATGCACTTTGAAACATTGAAACTGGAAAATATGTTCTTCCTAATTGCCTATTTTTATGAATGTTCTTGATATAAATAGAATTCTAATTGTAAAAGCAGAGTTAACGCAATAGTATATAGCCGGGATGGCAAGCCTATGGCACGCGTGCCACAGACGGCATGCGGAGCCATTTTGTCAGGGCATGCGAGGTGTTGCCCTGTCAGCTGCGTTCAGCCTTTTTTAAAGCCATTTTTCGCCCTCCCCAGGCTCCTATAAAGCCTCTGGAGCCTGGGAAGGGTGAAAAAAGCATGCAAAAATGGGGGGAGCGCCTCTCATACGTGCATGCACCCTGGGGGGGTTGCGCGTTGCATTATGGGTGTGGCACGTCCACACACAACCCCACCCCACCCCCTTATGGCACACGAGCCAAAAAAGGTTTGCCATCACTGGTATATAGTGATGGTTGCTGTTTTCCAGTGGAAGGTACTTAGAAAGCTTTTGGTTTGTTTCTCTTTACATATATGCAATTAGACAAAATAACTTGATGCTTTAATCTTATGCAATGTGTGTAAGAAAAGATTTCTTAATGAGATTTATAGGACAATGAAGATAACATCTTTATTCTTTATTATTTTAGGCAGATATAGAGCAGCATTCATTGGCAAAGTACCTGATGGAACTTGCACTGGTGGATTATGAAATGGTACATTATCCTCCCTCCCAGATTTCAGCTGCAGCATTTTGTTTATCTACTAAAGTTCTGGAAGAGGGAGAGTGGGTAAGTCACAGAACCCTAACTTAACAAAGGAAGATTCAGATAGTCCTTATTTAGCGACTGACAGTTTTAGTGACCTTCACAGTTATGATGGTGATGAAAAAGTCACTTTGTGATCAGTCCTTGCATTTATGACCTTTCTAGGCCTGTAAAACAAAGGAAAACTGAAATAAGATCATTCACAGTTTCACTTAACAACAAAGCGTCGGTTGTTCAGGTGTTACTGAAGCAGATTAGCATGATGGAGAAATTGAATTGGAAAGGTATAGCTCACTTTTTCACTGCTATAAATCTAGTTCAGATGTGCAAGCATACCTAAAATTTTCAGCTTGCTATTAATAATAGCCTCTCAAAAAAGGTTCGTGGAAGGCAGGTCTTTGGAAAACCAGAAGATCTTCAAAGTCTTTAATTTATAAATTTACCTCTTGCCTTTAGACGCCACTTCTTCAACACTACACGTATTATACTGAAGACACTCTTATTCCTGTGATGCAGCATATGGCAAAGAATGTGATGTTGGTAAACCGAGGCCTTATAAAGCAGATGGTAAATATATCCACTTGCTTACTTGTACTGACCCACCCTTAAAAACCACAAATCTCAATCTTCATGAATAAATCCTAGGAAGGGCTGTGAATTAAACAGTCCCCAAGGGCTGGAAGATGCCTTTAGAGCATCAGGTCGCTAGCTCAGTGTAAGAAGTCAAAACTTCACTATATGGCTGCCTATCCTTTGCCTGGGGGGTAAGAAGGGAAACTTGCCATCTCTGCTTAATCCTACTATCCTCTATTAAAGCTTTTATCAAAGTAAGTTGGGTAATCAAAGTAATAGTCATTTTGTAATTTATAGCGACTACTGCAATTCTATATCCCATCTGAACAGAAAACAAAGATACAATAGGAAGAGGGGAAGTGCGCAGAAAATATTTTTCCCACGCCTGGAACAAACAAAACCCCAGAATGCTTTGGTGGTTCTGTGTTTTAGACAAAATAAGATCCAAATAGAATGAGTAGAGCAAGGCTAGTATATGTTACTCCCTCAGTGGCTTCGTGAGTAGCTATTTCTTAGTCTCCCAGTTTTCACAGCACATTTTTTCTTTGACCACCATAACCATCACTGCCAAAGAATCCATCTTGGCATCTCCCACTGTGTCTGCCCACATTGTCCTTGCCATCTATTCTCCTCCTTTGTTGCTGCTAATGCTCTTGCCTTCACTCTTCTATCCCCAGCTCGCAAATCACTTCTGCCTGGTGGAACCACACATTGTTCTAAGCTTGGCAGAAATGTCCTAGCCCATGTGTGTGTATCTTTCAAACATGGACCACCCCAAAGCAACTCCCTAGTGGGAAAACAATCTTAAGGAGTGGGCTCTTTTTTCCTTCTTCTGGAGAAGGAGCATACTAGGTTCTCTTCCTTGTGGCAGCCATTTCTATCTAAACAAGTTACTATGCTACTCAATACATTTTTCAGGATTTTCAATTTTCTGATTCCTGGGACGTTTTTGTATAATTAGCAATACAGTTTTATCTTTCAAATATTTAAGCATTGCTGATTATGTAGCTCATATAGTTGTTGTACATTCCTCAACAGAGAGAGGTGGTTATATATTCCTCAACGTCTGTTTGATAAATGGGCTGCCTTAAAAATTCAGTAAAAATGTTAATGAAATTTTGCTCTAGAACAAAGTATTATAATGATAATGAATCACATCTTTCTCCTAGACTATCAAAAATAAATACGCCAGCAGCAAAAATGTCAAGATTAGCACCCGTACAGCATTGAATTCTGCAGTCATACAGGATCTCGCTAAGCCATTGTTGAAATAAATATAATTTAACTGTTTGGACAAAGTTGACACCATGTGTCACTGTTGTGTGTTGTGTGTATATAATATATTCTCTTAAAGTTTTTAATAAACTTCCTTTTACTTCATCTGTTGTCATAGTCTACTTAACTTTTGTTTTGTCAAATATTAAGCCTAAAATAAAATTAGGATATTGGAAGCTCATGTTTATATAATCTGTTGAATAAAGACCAGCAAACAGGAAAAAGTTCTCGTTTATTTTTTCAGAGGGATTTTTCATTATCTGTATTCTGAAGTAATAAAATTTACAACAGTCATTCCTAATTACTTGTTTTAGTGAATACATAAAATGGATAAAATACTAAATATTCTGTGTTTAGATACATCAACATCAAGGAATATTATCATATGAAACAATACAGGCAAAATTAACTTTCAGAATACATTAATTTGTTGACAAATTATGACGACAAATCATTAGAACTAGTAAAAATAGTGATTGTAACTCAAATTCAATAAATGATGTATCGTGCTTACTGTAAGCTATATTTTGTTTATATATAGCATGGTTTTATAAGGAAACTTATTTTTAATATGAAGAAACTTAATATGTAGCATTTTTAAGTGTAAGAAAAAATATTTTTCAAAACCTGGAAAATATTTTCTATTATTTAATAAACTTTATATATCATCAGGACATTTGAAGGATTTTGTTTTGGCTATCTGAGCTTTCCCACCCCAAAATGGACATTTTTTTCTGATTAATCATAGCTGCAAACAAACTTTCACAGCTTTTGTTTCCATCATTATATGTTGCTAATAGTACTCTTTGTAGCTCATTCATAAACTTCATATAATGGAATGTAGAATATTATATTTATTTTATATATACATACACATATACACTAAGTAGGTTTTTGCCTTATTGAAAGCAAAAAGTATGCTAAACTATGATCCAACTATGATCCAACTAAGCCAGATTTAGGCAAATTAAGTTAAACAGCAATTTAAGTAGATTTTATTTTATTTTATTGAATATCCTGATCTTTGTTCAAGAACACAAGGTAGCATTCCCTTTTATTTCCCACAAATCCGAAGTATCTGGGCTAAGAAGTTCTATGGCTGAAAATAGACTTGAACCTCTTTTACATTATGCCAGGCCTAGTTCCAGCAATGTTTGGTCTTAAGTTTTCTGATCGCATTAGGCCTACCATAGTTCTTTAATGCATTGCTACCTGTTTTGATTAGGCATATCTCCCAGGCTCATATTTTTCACATCATTGGTTTTCTGAAAATTCAAATTGTACCTTGACCTTGCTTTTCTTTTTCAGAACAGCATGCCCCAATCATGCAATTATCAAAGTAAAGTTATTAGCCTTGCTTGCATTTTTAAAAAAGCCAACCTAGAATGTCATAGGGTTATAGGGAGTGCAGGTTTGTCTATTTAAGTTGTCGGACATTTTAGCATCTCCTTCAGACCAAAGCTGATCTTTTCCAAACCATGATTTTAAAGTCTCTTGAATAGTTGGCTTATTTATTAAACTTCTGTAGTCACATTAAGCACACAACTTGTGATTTACAATACAAAACAATAAAAAGCACATGAATACAGACACACATAGCAAGTACTGTAATGCAAAAGCCAGTGTCTCTTAAAATTTTCAAGCACAAATTCACAAACCTTGGGTTCCCCTAAATCTGGTCCCAATTCCTGGTAGAAAAGCCAAGTTTGTGGTGCTGAGTTGGCTGTCTACTTATCCAATTAGGTGACATTAGTACAAGCAGGATCAGCTTTATGCATTTGGGAGCTGTTCCATTGAGGAGATACAACAGTGAAGGCACATTTTGGTCCTTCAAGATGGCATTGTTTCACTGAGATGATCGTCAGCATGCCCACCTTGCTAGAGCTGGTGGTATGGTTTGATATGGTTTCCTCAGTGATAAAAAAAAATTGCAGCTGGTTGTCTACAAAACAGTCGTTAGTCTGGGAACCAATTATTCCATTAGTAAATATTTATATTGCAAACCTCTGGAAACTCAGTATTAACCCTCTACAGAGTCATGATTCTAGAATTGTGTTAAAACTATTTACTCCCACCTTGAAAAATTACACAGGACCCCAAAAAAGCTTTTGTGCAAGTTATATTTATTTATATTTACCATGTCAAAAATTAAAATATTGGTGCATTTGTAGAATATTAAATCAGGTGAAAATATAGATATTTCATGAAAAGAATTTCTTAACAAAATGATTACATTTTAATTTTTTGCAAATATCACCAATATCTGGTAAACAGCTTAAATTTTAGACACCACCCCCCCAGGGGTCCCTTTCAAGATCTAGAAATTTGACACCCTCCCCAAATACAAAATCGCTTTCTGTAGAAAACATGGGTTTAATATTAAGAAATCATTCCTAAGCCATCTAATTCAGAAGTGTTACCAAATGCGATAGCATGGCAATTCTGTTGGAAGCACCAAGACTGTTCCAGGTTGAAAGGATAGCAATAGCAATATAGCAGTTAGACTTATATACCGCTTCATAGGGCTTTCAGCCCTCTCTAAGCGGTTTACAGANTCTAAGTTTTGTGTGTGTGTATTTTACATGTTTGTAAATATATTTTTTTTGAAAAGCAAGAAAATGGTAAAAGAACACCTATCTGACCTTGATGAATATAAATCACTGGAAGCTGACAGATTACATCCTGAAGGAGCTGGCAAAAGTTATCTCAGAACCACTGTACCAAATAGCACAGGGGAAGTACTATGCTAAAAACAGATCATGCCAACCCAAAGCTGATTTCATTCCTTGATAAATTAGTAATTAAATTAGTAGACCAGCAAAATGCATAGTATATTCATATTTCAATAAGGCATTTGACAAAGTAGACCACAATCTACTTCTTGGTAAGCTAGAAAAAAAGTGGAATAGACAACATCACCACCAGATGGATTTGTAACTGACTGACCACATAGAGAGAAGTACCAGTGGGATACCATAAGGCTCTGCGTTAGGCCCAGTACTCTTCAATATCTTAGATGAGGGAATAGAAGAGGAACTCAACAAATTTGCAGATGATACTAAATTGACAGAAATAGTCAACACCTGAGAAGACAAACTCAGGATCCAAAAAGATCTTGACAAACTTGAACAATGGGCTCTACCCAACAAAATGAATTTTAATGTGGAGAAAATCAAAGCTTTACATTTAGGCAGAAAAAATCAAAGGTGTAAGTAGATTAGACGAGACCTGGCTCAAAAACAATAACTGTGAGAGGGCGCTTAAGAGTCCTAGTGGGTGATTATTTGAATATGAGCCAGCAATGTGCAGCAGCCAAAAAAACTAATATAATCCTGGGTTGTATAAACAGAGGCATAGAATCAAGATCACGTGAAGTATTAGTGCCGCTTTACAAAATCCTAGTAAGACCACACCTGGAATAACTTCCAGCCTCTTCTTTTCTACTCTACTCTACTGCTCTGCTCTGCTCTGCCCTGCCCTGCCTTACCCTACCCTACCCTACTCTATCCTATATATGCATATAAATAAAATATGCAATACTGTAGAAACCGTCTTTTCAGAGGTAGACATCAAATTAGCTGAATGATGATGAAATAATTATGAACAAAATAACTTTGTTTTTCAAGGTTTTAACCCAAAAACTAAAATAACTGGGTAAGTGTGCTAGTTTACTTAAGCACTTATCTATAGCAGTTTTTCCAAGTATAACCAGTAGTGGGATTCAACCAGTTTGGGAGAACCAGTTGTTAAGTTTCTGAACAGTTTGGTGAACTGGTTGTTGGAAGAAATAATTAGGGCAGAGAACCGGTTGTTAAACTATTTGAATCCCACCACTATATATAACCCTTTATACAGTTGTAGCCTTTATTTATATATATTTATAGAGACAGAGACAAGACAGACAGACAGACCGACTGAGTTTGGGAACATCAATCTAACATGAATATTATGAGTCACTGTTTTAAAAAAAAATGATACAGGCACTGAAATACTGTGAATTTTTTAAATAAAAACTTAGTCCTTGAATTTTAACTTAAACTCCATCATGATTATTTCTATAATATATAAGGATAATTCAGTACATTTTACTAATAAAATAGGTAAATTACATGTAGAATTTGATGTTTTCCTGTAAAACTTTTATATATAGCGAAGCAGTATATTTTTCAACGGACTATTAAATAAACATTTTTCCTGATTTCTCTCAGATGGAAGTCTCCTGATCCTATCATCAAATAGCAATGCACAGCCAATCCCCCTCCCCTAATCTATAACAGGATTTGGGGTGAGGGGGACATAGAACAGATAAAAAAGAAGAAAAGTGAAGCAAAATATCAAAAGTTGATAAAAAAATGTCTGAACCTTATAAAATTTTGTGATTGAGGTAAGACAAATAGTTGTCATTTTAAGAAATCAGCTACTGTTCCTGACCTCCAATTTTTATTTTCTTTCTTCAGTTTAGAAGCTGTTATTAAAGACCACTTGTGATGGTAATATTCCAGAAAAAATGCATCTGGAAATTGTATTAATGCAATAATGTGGTTTCTCCCCTTCTTATTTGTATTTGAATCCTGACAAATTTGCCAAATACAATTCTTAACTGCCTTCTAGGTGAATAGTATGCCTGTAAAAAACACTCTCTCAAGCATTAATGTTAAAAAAACACAGAGAACAGGACTTTCCAGATCTATGAGCAATAAATTGCTGCTACAAGCAAATTAGAAGCCTTTATGGGGCACAGAGCACAATTTTATCCAGAAATGAAAAAAACCGTCGTAGCATAATTATCCATAAACTACAAGCTGAAATACCTACACAAAAAAGTAGTATTGCACAATAATTAGCGTAAGGGATGAAAACGAACAGATGTAGCAATATTGACATTCTGAATACTCACCTGCCAAAAAACACGAATACCAACCTCCCCCTACATGCATAGAGAAAGTTAAAAAAGAAAGTGACTGTATTTTTATGTTCCCAACTTTATTTCTAGATTCTTTTTTAAACAATAAATAAGGCATAGTAAGGACTCATATCCAGGCCCTTTTTTCCCCAACTTCAGAACAA